CTGCAAGGAAAAAAGGAAACCATATTAATTTTGAGAAAAATAAGAAAGAAAAACAATAAAAAATAAAATAGCCAGGGGATACGAGTATAAAACATAGCGTTACGATTTTCTGAATTCCATCCTAAAAAAAAGATAAAAAAACAAGAGAAAACAAACAAAAGAGCAACGTTCAAAGACAAAAAAAACAAAAAACAAAGGAACGCCAATTGAAACCCAGGGGGATACGAGCGTAAAACATGGCATTACTATTTTCTGAATTCCATCCTAAAAAAACAACAACGCTTTAAGAAAATACATAAGAAAAAACAAACAAAAAATCAACGTTCAAAGAGAAAACATCAAAGAGAGAGAAAAAAAAAAAACAGAAAAACAAAGGAACGCCAATTGAAACCCAGGGGGATACGAGCGTAAAACATGGCGTTACGATTTCCCTATTTCCCGCCGGTATTCTTAAAACTTCCCTGTCATAAATCATGCCTTTGTTCGAGTAAATAAAATAAGATTAAAGCAGGAAATAAAACAAATTATTTAGTTCCATGAATAGAAAGACTATACATCCTTCACATTCATCATAGATTCCGTAAAGATGCCGTAAAAAGGATTTAGTCACGTAGTCACATTTTCTATTCGCTTAATTCGAAGCCTAAAAGAACGATCCACAACCGCCATTTTTCCTTTTTTGGCCATTTCTATCATCCATCTTTTTCCTCTCTCTTATTCATCCAATAATTCGAGTCAATACAGATTTTTTATCTATATTATTATTATCAATCATTATTATCATCATTACTATCATTATTACTATTCACATTTTCCGTATTTCCATTTCTCTCTCCCATATTTAACCTGGAGGCCCATAGACTTTCACCCGAACAAATAAACCGTTTCGGATAATTTCTCAATTACACTTTTTTCTTACTCTTTTTTTCTCTTCTTTTTCTTTTCCTTTTCTTTTTTCTTTTCTTTTCTTTTTTGAATAGATTCCGACACGGTTCTTGAGCGAAGACATGAAAGGCGAGACTGCAAGGAGTCAGCGGCCGCGGAACGAAAAATTTGAAAAGAGAATTGTGCAGAGAGAGAGAGAAAGAGGGAGGAGGGGAGAGGGAGGAGAGGGAGGAGAATGGGAGGAGGGAGAGGGAGGGAGGGAGGTAGGGGGGGAAGAGGGAGGGAGAGGAGGGAGAAGGAGAAGGGAGAGGAGAGGAGGAGGGAGGGAGAGGAGAGAGGAGAGAGAGGAGAGAGAGGAGAGAGAGAGAAAGAAAGAGGAAGAGAGAGAGAGAGGAGAGAGAGAGAGGAAAGAGAGAGAAACAGAAAGAAAACAAAAGACAGAAAAAAAAAAAAAAATATCTCCCTCCCTCCCTCCCCTCCAACCCACCCACTCCCACTCCACCCTTCCCTCCCACCCCCCTAAGAAAAAAAAAAAAAGTCGCTGAAAAGGCCCCGCAATCGGCCGCCATTACGCGCGCCTCGCCTTTCCTCCGACGCGAAGGGTTACCGGGTCGATGCTATTTGCGCTTCGCATACACGACCGGGCATACGGGCCGGTGAATCGGCGTCCTGTGAGGGGGTCGGAGGAGGGAGAGGGGAGGGGCAGGGAGGGAGGCGGGCCACACATACCATAAAACCTCGTTGAAATCGGGCGGTCGGTGGGGACGGGGGAGGGTGGAGGGAGCGAGGGGAGCGAGCGCATGGGAGGCGATGGAGGGGGAGCGAGGAAGGAAGAGGAACGGTTAAATAATTGGGTCAAAAGGGGAGAGGAGGAGGGAGGAGGAAAAGGGGATAGGCGAGGGACGGAAGAGGAGAGGGAGGGAAGGATAGAGAGAGACGAGTAAGACGAGAGATGAGAGAGAGGTAGACAGATAGAGACGATAGTACGAAAGAGGCAGAAGAACCGAGTGAGCACGAATAAATTAGATGAGAGACGAGAAGAAGGAGAGAAGAGACGAAAATGAGGAGAAACAGAAAAAAAACAAAACCCAGAACGAGAAACGAATAAACAAAAAACAAAATAATAATATCTCTCTCCCTTCTCCATTCCCTTCGCTCCCTCTAACCCAACCCATCCACCCCCCACTCCCCCCTCCCTCCCTCCCTTAAATAAAAAAAAAAAACTAAAACTAAAAAAAAAAAAAAAAAAAAAAAAAAAAATATCCCTCGCCTCCTCCCTCCCTTCCTAAAAAAAAAAAAAAAAAAAAAAAAAAATAAAAATATCCCCCCCCTCCTCCCTCCCCTCCTAAAAAAAAAAAAAAAAAAAAAAAAAAAAAAAAAAAAAAAAACCCGCCTAAAGCACCCCGCCAATCGGCCCCGCCAATTACGGGGTGCGGCCCTCGCCTTTCCTCCGACCGGAGTTTTACCGCGCGAATCTATTTTCGCTTCGACGACCGGGGCAGGCGCGTGGTTGAATTCGGGCGTCGTGCGGCGGGGAGGGAGAATGAGAGAGAGGGGAGGGTGAGTAGAGGAGGAGGCCGGGCAGTGAATCAGCGTCCGTTGGATGCCGCCAGGTGACACGGCCAGGAGGGACAGGAGGTGAGGGATGGGCGAGGGGTATGGCGAGAGCGAGGGAGGAGAGAGGAGGGAGTGAAAAGGGGGAGGGTAGCACGGGGAGTAAGAAGAGCGGAGAGAGGACAGGGAGGAGGGAGGAGAGGAGAAGAGAATGAGAAGACAGAGAAGAAGAGAAGACGAGAGAAGAGAAAATTCGTGACGTATAATGGGATAGAGACGGAGAGAATGAGACGAGAAGAGAGAGAGAGAGAGAGAGAGAGAGAAAGGAGAGAGAGAGGAAAAAAATGAGGGAGAAACCCAGAAAAAAAAAACAAAGACAGACTGCAGAACGAAACCCAAAAAACAAAATTAAAAAATCTACTCCCCTCTCCCTTTCAACCTTCCTCCCTCTAAACCCCACCCATCCACCCACTCCAAACCCACCCTCCCCTCCCTCCCCCCTCCCTTTTAAATAAAAAAAAAAAACTTACAAAACAAAAAAAAAAAAAAAAAAAATACCTCTCCCTCCTCCCTCCCTTCCTAAAAAAAAAAAAAAAAAAAAAAAAAAAAAAACACACACAAAAGTCCCTCCCTTCCTCACCTCCCTTCCTAAAAAAAAAAAAAAAAAAAAAAAAAAAAAAAGAAAAAAAAAAAAAAAAAAAAAAAAAAAAAAAAAAAAAAAAAAAAAAAAAAAAAAAAAAAAAAAAAAAAAAAAAACCCGCGAAAAGCCCCCGCATCGGCCCATTTTACCGCGCCGCCTCGCCTTTCCTCCGACGCGAGTTTTACGCGCGCTGTCACCCGATCTTCCTGCCCACGACCGAGGCGGAGGTGTCGCACGCTACAGGGACTCCTACAGACGTAAACGGCGGTCTATGGCATCCAATGGGCAGGGAGGAGGAGGGCGAGGAGGAGGGACGAGAGGCGGCTGAACGCCCGGATGGGGCCGTAGGGAGAAGGAGGGGAGAAGGAGGATGGCCGAGTGATGATGGGAGTGAAGAGAGGGAGCCGGGGAGAGGAGGGGTGGAAGGGAGGAGAGGAGGAGACGGGAGAGGGCGAGGGAGGAGAGGAGAGGAGGGAAGGAGAGAGACAGAGAGAGACGAGGAGAGAACGAGGAATGAGATGAGACGACGAGGGAGACAGCGAGAGAGAAGAGTATGACGAGAAGAAGAGAGAGGAGAGAGTAGTAAGGAACGGGAGAGAGAGAGAAAATGAACAAAGAAACAGAAAAAAAAACAAGACAGAACGGAAACGAAACAAAAAACAAAAATTAAAATATCTCTCCCTCTCCCTTTCCCTTCCTCCCCTCATAACCCAACCCATCCACCCACTCCACACCACCTTCCCTCCCTCCCTCCCTCCCGTTAAATAAAAAAAAAACTAAAAAAAAAAAAAAAAAAAAAAAAAATAATCCCTCCCTCCTCCCTCCCTTCCTAAAAAAAAAAAAAAAAAAAAAAAAAAAAAAAATATCCCTCCCTACCCCCTCCCTTCCTAAAAAAAAAAAAAAAAAAAAAAAAAAAAAAAAAAAAAAAAAAAAAAAAACCACGCTTTGAAAAGCCCGCAATCGGCCGCCATTACGCGCGCCTCGCCTTTCCNGGGGCAGGTGGTAATGAACCGTCGTATTTTCATCGTTATTTTTTTTTATCGGGACCTGGACGGGTGGTGGTTTTTGAAAGCAGTCACCGCCAACACAAAAAAAAAAAAAAAATAAAAAAAATAAAATAAATATAAAATCGATAAAACATAACAAAACAAACAACTACTAAACTTCTACCCATTTCTCGTCCTTGTCGCACCCTTCAATTCACCCCCTGTCCGATCGTGTTGTTATTCCTCCTCCCCCCTCTCCCCTTCTCCTTCCCTCACCCTCTCCCCCCACCCCCCCTCCCTACCCCCTCACCTTCCTTCCCCTCTCCCCCCATCCCCTCCTTTCCCCTTCTCTTCCTCCCCTATTTCCCCCTTCTTCCCTTCTGCCTTCCTCCCCTCTCCCCCCACCCCCCTCCTTCCTCTCCTCCTTCCTCCCCTATCCCCCCACCCCCTCCACCCTCTTCTTCCTTCCTCCCTCTCCAACCCCCTCCTTCCCCTTCTCTTTCCTCCCCCTCCCCCACCCCCTTCCTTCCCCCTTCTCCTTCCTCCCCCCACCCACCCCCCTCAAAAACGTAAATTTTTTAAAAATCAAAATAAAATCCAAGAAATTGCTTTAAAAACTGATGAAAGGAAGAAAAGCGGAATTTCAAAACGTCATTTATCATCAAATTCTATGCCTTTTTCATAGTACAAATGCTTTCTTCTAATTTTTTTTTCGAATTTCACAATAATCATCTCACGAAAATCCATTCCACATTCATTTTCAGACTCGACTCCACTTCCTCTTCCTCTCCTATCCTCACTCCCTCCACCTTCTATCCTCACTCCCTCCACTCTTCCTCACTCCCTCACCTCTTTATCCTCACTTCCCCCAACCTCTATCCTCACTCCCTCCACCTCTTCTCCTCCACCTCCCACCCTCTCTCTTTCCACACCCC